GGCTTCGGCCAAGGCTCTCTCCGCTTCTTCAAGGTGCTCCGATACAACTCTTCGGCTTCACCTGACTCTCGAGTGAAGGAGCAGCCGTCGCTGCGTGCGGGCGAGTTCGGCTGCTCCGTGGTGTGGTTCCGAGTGAAATCGTTGAACAGCATTTGGGCAACCACTAGAGGGTTCTCTATTCAACATCTACATTAATTGACACTGGGCTATTACAGGGCGTCTACCTACCCATCCTTGGTGGGTCCTGGTAATCAAAGTTAGGCAAACTGAGGACATCTGACTACTGATTTATCCACCAATTGCTCACAACAGTTCCGGCAAGTTCACATTGATGAGCCCTGAAGCATCAAAGGAAAGCCGGTACACGGGTCAGTGAAGAAAAAGCGCAATGACGAACACCCTTCAAAAAGCCGTTTGGTTAGCCCACTGACAACATCCAGAAATGCATTGGCATGGACCTCGCCTGTCACTGTCTCCCCCTGTCCACATGCATGGTTGAGCACTCATATGCAGGCTCCAGTGGCCGTAGCGTTCGCTGCCCTGAGCTTTCAAAGACACAGCCAGGTTGTTGGCTGCCCACTCCGCATCCACCAGACTTGCCAGCTGCAGCGATTGTCGAAAGGCCTCATGCGGACGGCGTCAGGACTTTTAGACGTGTGGGAGGATTGGTTGCAAAGAGTGGCGAAGACTGTATTGATTGCTTGGCTGCTTCACTCCACCAAACCACCAACAATCACTCACATCATGTATGCTGTGTTCATCTGTGTTCATTGCTCATGTTGTGTTCATGCCTTGCTCATGCTCGCTACCAAGTCACTGAACAAGTGCACGAACTCGTCGCCGAACCGACGTCGTGTTGCGTTCGTCCAACGAGTTGGACGGAGTCAGTGCGTTCAAAGCAACCCAGTGGCCCAGTGGATCCCAGGGATGCCACTGACTATATTACATACATGAGTCCGGCCTACTTGAGCGGTGGCATTTATTCATGATTCATTACGAAACTCACATACACTATCACTATCTATTATGTGGGGTCCCTATCTTGTTTAGACTGCTAATATGAGTACGTAGGTAGGAGGTCATGTCACAGTATCTCGTGCAGACTACTTTCAATAACTAACTTGTCATCAAAGTATCTGGTTTCTGTGGAGGTCGTATCTCGTTCACCAGCGAATACTGACGTTGGACAAACAAATAGTATGCCATATAGACACTGCCGTAGACTTAAAAGTGGTTGCTCATATATTCACTCGGCAAGTTCCTTCTCACTTAAGGGTCAATATCTCAGTACAAAGGAACCAGTTTCTATGTTTTTCGTAGGTCGTTTTAAGGATGTTTTTAGTTGAGGACGCCTCAGAAGAGCTTACCCAACAGCGGTCGGGTGGAGCGGAGGAGTCGCTCTTCGCTCTGATGACTACGACGATGGATCCATCCAGAGCCGGAGATCCCGACGGAACACATCAGGCCCTTCCGGTGACCTGAACATTTCCACAGTTCTTGGGGTTTCTCCACCCACCGGCGAACGGCAGGTGCTTGGGCAGGTGGCCCACGCCTTTTGAGGCAGTAGGCCTCCCTTTTTACAGGGAAACACATCATGACATGTGCGGTCAAAACATCGGCCTATTCCTGGCATCGCCTGTATTACATACCGTGAAAAAAAACACCGCTGGCACCTAAAGTCGCTGGTTGATCGATTTCCTCTTGTGGGCAGCCAGGCCAGTCTCTTTATATATGGAGGATCACCCATGACATTTATATTGGTGATCCATTATAACCTAGCCAATTCTTTGGATGTTTTGGCCCGGTCCCTTCGCATGATAGCCCGGTCACTTCCCAACCTCCGGCCTCCTCCGCCTCCTGAGGCCTCCCTTGTGCCAGTAGCGCCACTCCCAGCGCGTCCAGCTGCTCCGCGCGCACGGCGGTGAGGGGCTCGACGGAGGCCTGCAGTCCCAACGTGGTGAGCGGTTGATCACATTTGGTACCTGTACCCTCGAGAGACGGAGTAAGTTTTTGGGGATTCACTCAAAAACCAGTTACTTCAGGGGCTCAAGGTATACATTTGTGTGGTGGCCTGCAGCCTATTGGTCCGTGGCATAAGTTTTACAGCAGCTGTGAAAAAACCTGTGCAAATTGTTGCAAAACACAAAGTCTCTCCAACGATAGGAGCATGATGGAACATGCGTGTTCATCCTTCTACCTTGCTGCAGATCTTACTGCACATTCCCTTTACCCTCATGTTGCTTCTGCCCGATGTCTGTCGTTCAATACAAGGGGACTCCACAAAGACCAAACACAAAACCCAACGGATTGGCGGGGGCCTCCTTAGCAGCCAGGGTAGCTGCTGAAGCCACAAGGCTCAGGCAAAAGACGGGATGGAAAAATCATGAGAGATCCAATTCCAACTACGTAGTTGTTTCAGGTTGGAAGATCTACAGCGCTACAGCAACATACAATATGCCAAAACTAACTCAGGGACCATAGAATCCTATAGAATACGCTAGAACCGGCTGGAACCAGAACTCATGATCCAACACATCCAAGAATCGTCCACCGACAATGTCAAACCATTCAACCCACCGATGAACCCAACGATCCGCTGGCTCACACTTCAGTCTTCAACCCACAGTGTCATTGTGTGAAACTTGTTGCTATGCATAACAAACCGGGCTTTACAAAAACACACACCAAACTCCAAAAGGCAGTGGGGCCTGACAGGGACCTCCAAAACCCACACCACCCTCTACCACTCTGCACCTGTTGTCGCTTCTCTTCCTCCTCCTGCTTGACTCGTTCGGGGCCCAAGGCTTTCAATCGCCGCACGCGGTTGGCCGCATCCCCGGGGATGGCCCGAACCGCCGACCCGGAGCGGCGGCCGCGGCCACGGCGCGGTGCCGGCGGGCTCCTGGCGGCGAATGTCGCTGATGTCGCTGTGCGGTGCGACCGGCGCGGCGTCAGGGTGAACACGTGTGTGAACTTGTGAGTTTGTGACACTGGGGGGAGGGGAAGGGGCCGGGGGTTCGGCAGACTGAAGTGCATGGTGAAGCTTGGAAAAGGCAGTAAAATGATGCAAATGATTGTAAATGTAACATGATAAAGTGTGTGTTGTGTCATAGGAAGTGAGGAGTCATCCAGGGTCACCCCAAATTTGCTCCAAGATGTTCTAAGTCTGGTGAAGAAACGACAATTCTTGGTGGGTGAGCGTCTCGAAGGGGTTGGAATCCCTGAAACCCTCTTGGTAAGGTCAAACCAAGTGATGAAGGAGAAATGACAACAGTATGATGTGGTATGATGTATGATGTGGGTTCTTAAATGGGCTTGGCCCGGCTCACCCCTATCTTCCCATTGAAATGGACATGTTGCTTGCTGCTTGGGTGGAAAACCGCAAAGGTACGGTTCATCTGGCAGGTGGACGATCCCATCTTACAAATTTCGGCTGGCGTTAGACTACTTAAGATTGGTGGATGTCCTCTTCTGTTGGGCATTTCACACGCATGCCAAAGTTTCTTCGATCTGGTCATATGTCAGTCAAATGGACAGTATCGGCCTCCGCTTTGTTCGTAAGTCCACTTGCAACCAAACATGCCGCTGATTGCTTCAGGTTCAGTTTGGCCCATGGAATGGGAAAGGACAGTTGACCGTCTCTTCCTCACCATGCGGATGAAAGGGCGACTCTCTTCGAGCCGCTCCGTCCGGTCCTGGCATACAATGAAAGGACCGGTGGACGCGGCAGTGGCAGTGCTGGCAAGAAGCTCTGGGACCACAGAGCAAACATGGAAGACGGTCGCTTTGGACTACGCTCTGTGGCCCAGGCGAACTGCTGGGTGTGCGAGCCGCGAGCTGCGAGCTGCTCGGTTCAGGAGATGGGGGCAGCGAAGCAACGGAAACTGTAGTGATGTTTCTGTCAGTGTTGGGCCTCCTTGAACTGATGCAACCCTCCGGAGACACTCAAGAAAAATGACCTGGTGGCTTCGTAACACAAAGCTCCTTCAGTCACTGTCGTGAACTGATCCTCTTGTGCCTTAAATACCTGCAAAAACTAATACCTCCTTCTCGAAGGTTTGGGTTCGAAGAATGTAATTAAATGTACAGTAATTAGATCTGATCAACCTGACTTGATCGACTTCCCCAAAAACCTGGATGTTCGTTAAACTTCTATTTTGCCAAAGCATGCCAAAGCCACCTTTGTCTGAGACAAGTGGCCATTGGCCCTGCTCGTTAGACCTGGATGATGTTAATGCTTTGCTTCATTGTGCTTCTAACTGTTCTTGCATGGCACCAAGCAGAAATGCTGCCACCGGACATGAAAACCGCCCACGCCCACCCGGCCCGAGGCGAGGCGAAAACAAACGCCCCTGGCATCGGGCCCAGTTCGGACAAGAACATGGGGCCAACATCCTTAATAGATGTCTACATGACTTCCCCTCATTAGATGTCTACATTAGAGGGCTACCTTTAGATTCATTACATCTTGATTCATCATTTCCCCACATTAGATGTCTACATGTCTAAACACCCTTGTCTTGACTAAGGGTCCTCATTTTGAAAGCTTCACGTTTGAAGGGTGTTTTCGACCCATATAAACCACCCTCCGATCCAAACCGTAACTCAGCCCAATCACCGCGGTGAAACAGGCGGATCACCGTGGGGATGGCGGATGAAACAAACCCATCTATCTGAGAGTTGGACGTGGATCAAAGATCTTGCTGATATGGATTTCTTCTCATGGACACCCCAGGAATGTGTGTGGTTTCTTTTTTTCCACAACCCTTTTTCAGCAACACCACTTGTAGAATCCAAACCGTGACCACATGGCACAGATAGCGTCACTGGAGCCAGCACCAAACACACTGGACATCACTGGACACTGCAGAACACTGGAGGTTCGTTATCGTGCTTCCACATATAGCTCAAACAGTGGAGGGAGACTGGCGGTTGTTCCTCATCGACTCGATTGGTTCGCAGCACGACCCGAGAGCGGCGCTCTCTCTCGGCGCCCGCGCCCCTTGGGTGTGCTGAGGTGCCAGTCCTGTTCCACCGGTCGCGTCGTATCAATGCGACCGGTGACCCGTGTAGTCCTCCAAGCGCCCAGGGGAGTTGAAGGGTATATACGGCATGACATCACACAGATCCAGAAAAACATATGATTACAAGCGTTAAGATGGGGGTGGATGCGCTAGACGCTAGGCCAGAAGAAAAAGGGTGTACACTGCGGTAGATAGGGAAAAAAAACAAGCATCCCCACTGTGAAATGACTCATCTAAGCACACCTGACACCTATGATCTCAATCATATCTCACCTCTCACATGTCTTTAACCCGCAGTTGCTCATTTCTTTTGTGTTGAGAACGCGCGTGGTCACGTCACCACGTATGGACGGCCACTGTTAAAAACGCTATCTTTTGAGATCTCTTGAGCACTATCTGGTTGGTGGTGTTGGTGTTTAACTCACTTGAAAGATCTGTGTCAGTGGGATCAATCATCTCAAGATATCTCAAGTAGAGAACCTAGAAAGAACTGACTCAAAAGTATCTGTCAAAAACACATATATATATATATACATACATACATATATAAATTTGAAAGCCACCACCCAGCCACTCGTTGTGGATCGAACAGGTGAATCTTTCCACCGATTCACCACGTGCGCGTCGTTCGCTCCACTGGGTCCTGCCCCAGGGAGACCCGCAAGACAAAGCCCTCGGCCGTGCCAAGGACCATGGCGGAGTTGGCACCAGCCTGGCGCGGTGGGGGCGAAGGCCCAACGGGCTTCCGCCACCGTGGGCGGTGACCGGGTGGGTGTTCCTCGATCTTCCCGACTTGCAAAGCTCTGTGGCTGTGGATGGGCTGCATGATTGGCCGAAACTCAGCACTCAATGTGGCTGGAAGTACTGATCCCGATCCAACAACCATGTATTGGCAATACGCTTTCGGTGCAATATGTGCAATACTGTAACTGCAATATCACTTGCCATATCATCTTGACTCCCTCAGCTTCCCTGGAACATAAAGGTTAGTATATGTTTTGTTTCCTACCTGTTTGTTTTGGTGGGGAAACCAATCCCCCAAAAGGTTAAAGCCATTTAAAGGCTAACCATTGACAGGGTAGGAATAGCATTCAATATCTATGAGTAAGTGGGCAGGGGAAAACAAAGTCATTGAAAGATCTGGACAAAAAAAAAACAGGTATATAATGGTGTATACACTTCTATATTCTCCATGGTGCCTGCCACGGTCTATGTCGTCTACGTCCTACAGTTTGTGTCACATCAGTTTTGGTTTCGATAGTGAAACTGCATGGCAGTGAACGATACGAGGGGGTCACATCAGGGTCACATCAATATAGTCATTTAGCTTGCGGTTTGGTTGTCTCCATGTATTGCCAAAATGGCACAAGAAAGGACACATTTGTCGCTATAAAAAGAACGACACATGCTAAGTTGCTAAATGGTCTTCATCTTCGTCTCTTCAAACACCCAACTGATTTTCACCACAAAACCAGCCTTTCGCCCACCTTCCACATCGCGCCCGCGGAAGCGCAAGCGCCCAACCTCGCCTTATGCGCCCAAGCTAGCTGGTCTCCCTCTGCCTGGCGACGCTTCGAGCTGGGATGGAGCTGCCGGTACCAACTCCCAGACACACCACGACCCCTTCCCAAACACCACTGATGGGACTGCCAGACTGCCACCCCAGCAAGACCAGTCCACCCCTGGCCGTTTCTGCAGTCCGGAGTGTCTGGGCTTTCTGGAGCCGAGGCCAGCTTGCAGGGCAGCCAGAGGGCGACACGTCCATCATCCAACGATTGAAATGGTACAATATGGATCAATGTGATACGATAAATTACAATAATGTGCTAGACTATGATAGACTTGGTGCTTGCAGGATCTCGTATAGTAGGCAGCCAATGATGAGCACTGTTTATGATGCCCTGCTTTAGATCCTCCTCCTCCGCCTCCTCCTCCTCCTCGCAGCCTGGAGGTTTCACGGACAATCACCTGCAAACATCCTTGGAAAGATCCTCCAATGGATCAGCAACAATACATGCGGATGCGAGCACCAGGTTGCCAAAGCGACGATGGCAAAAACAAAAGGCTTTGCTAGCTTCGCTGCTGCCATTATCTAGTACAGTGCAGTGCCAAAAATGACAAAGTACCAACCGTAAATACCAGGTGACGCAGGCATACCAGAACAGTCGTCGCTGTCGTCACTCTTATCACTTAATTATCAGATCTTCAGGGAGACAACCTTCCTTGGCCATGCGCTGAAGATCAGCCAACCAACCCAGAAGTGGCAACAGTGGACAAGTACCAAGTGAGCAGAAGCAAGCATGAAGCAAAAACATGCTTTCCAACATGCCGTACATTGCCACACTCTGTGCAGCTTTCAGGTGATTTTACCTTCCCGAGTCCAGTCACCAGGCGCCGACGGACGCCTTATAACTCGGCCTTCTGTCTTGTCATCATGCGGCTGCTTTTCTTTGAGTTTCAACAGGGTTGTCTCATGTTTTGCTGGCCAATGCTGCATTGCTGCGCCGCTCCAGCATCGCCCCACTTCAAGCTCTGCATCAATACAATTGGTGTATCAGTAAACCATAGATGACTCGATGACTCGATGACTTGAGGCCAGAGGGGGTGAACGAAAGCTAGCCGGGCTTCCGGTGGTCTGCTGCTGGTGCTGCTGCTGCCGCTGCTGCGCTGGGCGCTGCTGCGCTGTGCTCTGCAGGCGCCGGGTCGTCTGCTGCTGCTGCTGCTGGCGCTGGGTGGTCTGCTGCGGCTGCTGCTGCCGCGGCGTTGGGTATGCTGCTGCTGCCGCCGCCGCTGGGTGGTCTGCTGCTGCTGCTGGTGCTGCTGCTGCTGCTGCTGCCGCTGCTGCGCTGGGCGCTGCAGATGCTTGGTGTGCTGCAGCTGCTTGGTGATCCCGCTCACCGCGCGCAGGGGGGAGTCGAACCGCGGGGGGGGGGGGGGGGGGGGGGGTCCATAAGATTGATTTAATCAATTATTTGAGGTTTCTGAGGTGCGTCCACCCCGTCACTTAACTTGCTAAAGCAAGAGCAACTCCAGCTAGCTAAGGCTAGCTTTCGTGACTAGATCGATGTGGAAACCACATCAAGGCATGGCATGGCGCCACATCTGTGGCATGGAAGCTCCAACCAATCTCCCTCCACCGAGGCGTCGCGTGATCCGCCGCCCCGCCGTCTGGGGTTGGCAGCCCGGGGGGGGGGGGCTGACCCGATGGCAGTCCCACTTGCCAAAGAAAAACAAGTTACTAATGTTACTAATGAAATCCAACAAGGTCTTGAGGAGGAGTAAGAACCCCTCAAGGTCTTGTCCACACTGGGGAAGGGGAAAAAACAACTTAGAGTCTTGAGGAGGAGTGAAGCATCAACCAGGTATCCTATCAAGGTACTAATGTCGAGTATACTATTATGTACTAATATGTATATACTAATACTCCTACCAGGAGTCACGTCAGACGGGGTGGTGTTCAGTCCCTGCCCTAAGTGAATGGATCATGGGCACCCCGACTACCTCCATTCAGCACCCCGAGCTCTGTGACTGCCAGGGATGAGCGCGATGAACGCACGGGCCGCACGGGCGGCCCGTAACTGTTGGGGCCAACACATGCCGTCCCTCCACCAGCTGTCCCTCACATGCCAGCTTCCAACTACACGCTTCTTGCCACGGCAACATGAAAGTCTTCCAACTACGCACACAAAATAAGACAGCATCCCCCAGCAAAATCTACCATTCACCATCCCTTCCCCCATCCCATCCGCACAGCTGTCCCTCTCCTTACCCTCCCTCCATCCCTCCCGCCGCGCGCCAGCTTCATCGCTGGCATGCCCTTTCCGGGCCGCAGGGCACGGAAGCGGCTCAAGGACACCTGCCACGCCGTTCCGGCTCGGTCCGACAGTTCCGGTGCGGTTCGTCAGTGTGGTGCGGTGTGCCGTTGTGTCGAGCCGTTTTGGATGGTTCATGTTAGTTCCTTTGGGTCCAGGGTCCAACAGGGTCCAATGGTTTTGCATGGAAAGGTGATGAATACTGGGATTGTTGCCATTGAAGTGAGATCCAACTCTTTTTTTCGTGCTGAGCGTGTGCTGGTGCTTTTGTGCTGCTTGCTGGGGTTGCTTGGTGCTTTCGACCAGCTAAGAACCCTTGCAAGATCCAACGAGTGCCGCCACCAACCGCAGCTGGAACACACCGATCTGTTGTTGTGATCGTCTCAGACTGGTCAAACCGCACGGGCGAAAGCTGGAGAGCTTGCCAGCAGCAAGAAGCTCAAGCCGGCGAAGATGTGCGAAAAACCCCGGTGCTTTCGGGGTGCAGTCTGCTTGCCATCGCCGACGCCACAAGCGTCGGCTGGACCGAGAGTCTCATATGCACACAGGAAGCCATGAAAGAATCCATCCTCGGCGCCTGGCCTTCTTGGCAAAGCCCTTCTTGGAGACAAGGACCACGAAGTCCTCCTGATCAAAAAGGCCCATCCAGTGCTAGTGCTGCACGTGTTGCAGATTCTTTCCAAGCGATATCCGGATGAAGTGAGATGTTGTTCAATGGCACAGATGGCAAAAAAAAACTACACCACATAACTACTACGCTACCCTTAGTTAGTTGCAACCTAACTTCTTGGTGTGATAACCAGTCTAAGTGAGCCGCACCACCCGTGTGAGCAGGAAACCATGGGATGACAATCACTGAGGCTTCGACCTTCCCGCGGAAAGCATATGCCCAAACTGAATGCCCAAACATGCCCAAACCTTCTTCTACTTAATCCTTCCTTGGACCTTTGCCTCACATAGCATGGAACTCACTCTAGCTTTTCACGCACCTTGAAAAGCGATGATCACTAGCATCATCCATCATCATCCTATCCACAAACCTCTTAGAACATGCCCCTGCTCGCTTTGGATTCATCGTGCCTGGTCCTTGAGCCGGCCCTGTGCCACCGTGACCAGCGCTGCCACACGGCCCTCCAGCTCCGGCAGGAAGGCCTCACAACAGGAAAAGCACTGCAGAGTCTATGCCCTCAAGATGTTGCTTCCGATGTTCTGCTAAATTCCATCAAGACTGTCATGGAGTGGGCCTTCAACTCGTTTTTTGGGGAGGACTACAGGAATGAGCTCTTCGCTAATGTCTCTTCTGAGACAATAATGCCCACACAGCACCTGAGGATGGAATCTATATTATGGAATTCCTTCAACCAACATCAACGTGTTAGGAGATGTCATTGGCTACTGTGAGATCCCAGCCACTCTTCATCTACACCATGAACTGCCTGGGGCGCTTCGTGACTTGCGTCGGGCTGGGGGATTCTCCACCAGACTGACCTCTTCAACGAAGAACAATATCTTCTACAGGCAGCTGTGAGCTTTCTGTTTTCGTCTTTATTGATTCATGTGGGGCCTTGATAAATCATTAAACATACTTGACAACCCCCAAGTAACACCCACTTGAATCAATTGGGATTGGAGTGGGACATGCTGCCATTAAGGGATCAGAGGTGCTTGTAAAGCTGGCACCTATGCCATCCTCAAAGCGCAGGGGGGGTGCCTGGGAAATCATCACTCCCAGCAGATTATGTGCACCCCCCTGAGCATGTGCTGACGGGACAAACAGTTCCCCCATGGATGCAATGGCATACACCTATGTCCTTCGGACAGCTGAGCATGATGAGGGGAGGACCTGGCTCATCAACTACAGGTGTGCCAGCATCCTCTGTGAACAGTGTTTGCCTAAGGTATGAAAGATTTGCTGAGTGGTGTGTTTTGTGGGGGTGATTGGGGGTGGGTCTTTGGGTAAGGTGGTGGAGAGCCTGATGGTGACACAGCCAGTGAGGATGAACCCTCATCTGAATCCAGCAGGTTGGTGCCAGAGTTGTTTTGGTGATCTATCTAGCTAGCTAGCTAGCTGTCTTTCTCTCTTTGTCTATGTCTTCTTTTCTTTTGTGTGTCTTTCTTTCTTTCTATCTAGCTAGCTATCTCTTGCCAGGAAGACTAAGAAGCACAGTCACAAGAAAAAAAAAGCCACGCAGAAAAAGACCAAAGGTAAGGAGAAGAAGAAGAAGAAAGGAACGAATAAAAAGGGGTCTAGCAGTGGGTCCTCTGGGTCCACCTCTACCAATTGTCCAGAAGCAGGGAGGAGTGATGACTACCTGGATTCTTTGCCTCTCAAGGGGTGGCTTGGAGGCACTGTGGCACACAAGCAGGGCACAGGTCACAGCCCCAGGGTTGCTATACAGGTGGTTTGAATTTGAATTTGCTAAGGAGCTGGATTAGATTGGGTCAGGGAAAGGATGGTGGAAAGCCTGACAAGAAGAATGCAGGGTCTAGAGCAGAGAGGGTTAGGATCCTAAAGCACATGGATGAGGCTTTGCAGCCATGTTTCTGTGAAGCAGCTGTGAAATGGACCTGCTGCATGTGCTTGCATTATGTTAACAGTAGTGTGGGAAACATCAATCAGCTGAGGCTCACTGGTCAGCCTAACTGATTGGCAGGTGGATGCTTTGATGTTTGTGTGCACTGGATCCTATTGAATAGGTGTTCACCACCATTGAACGTCGGAAAACCGTCCAAACTTCCAGCGGCGAAGCTTGGAAGACATCTGCGGAGCCTTCAACTCGGTGCCTTTGCAAAAGGACTTCTTCACCAGGGGCACGTCTAAGGCCTGGCCGGTCGCAGTAAAAGACCTCCGGCCGGTCGTATTGGATGATCCATGAGATTTGTCGGGTCATACGCAAGGAAGTGCAGCTGGTTTTACTTGTGGGCTTGTGGACCATTGTGTTTCAAGCATCACAGGACATCACCACCCGTTAATCACAAAAATCTATCCATACCAGTAGTTTGTGGGACGCCAACGTGCGTAGTATCTATATTACATGTCTTTACATCTCAAAGCCCAAAGCCTCTGAGTATCTTCTGCAAAATAAACTTCACACGGCTGACGATGCCTGACCATGCCCTGAATAGACTCTCCGACTCTCCCCACCTGGAGGATATAAACAAAGCCCCGTTCGGAGAACACCAGCAAGGCATCGAAATCATGACCTCAGCTGATCCCCATCGATCTCGTCCACGTCGGACACCGACACCGGGCGCCCCGACGGGGTTCGACATGGATGACACGAGCGGTTGGTGCGCAAGGCATGGGAGTTGGTCCATGACTATTTACATGGAGTCTGATCTCTGTAGTCACATAATGCTTGAAGACCTCAAGAGTGCCCAGTGGTGAGGAATATATCGTTTCTTTCGGCTCCCGGACCCAAGGAGTCACTGTGCGTCGCATACCCCCGAATAACACTCATGGGCATGCGACGCAAATGGCCCCAAGTTCAGACCATGATGATTCCCGGAGTGTAGATCAAACGGACTCATGATCAAACGGAGCAACACCATTCCTATCTGCTACGACGTCGCTCTGACCAAGTAAACGCTCCCAGCGTGTACACTTCCTGAGCTCGAAAAAGCGCGCCACATGAGGACCCCCGGCAGCAAAAGACCCCAGCCAAGGCCTCTCAGGTTCCATCGACGACGCATCGACAACGATCCACTGACGGGGTACAATCCACTGACTGGGCCCTATATAACCGCCCATCTCTCTAAAATGAGGACAAAACACCAGAAAACCATTTATCTTATAGATCTATTGACACATGTTCTGGATCACCCCCAACTCCGAATACTCTGTCTTAGATTCAGAATAGCATCAAAGGTATTCGCTTTTTTCCGGGCAAGTCGGTGAAATCATGCCCGAGGCCCGATGATCGAAGCAACACCACGCTAAGTTGCTAAGTCGGTGATCGAAGGGTACCAATATCGCCAACATGCCTGTGGGTGATCTAAAAAGGTTTGGCGTGAGCCAGTGTGGAGTCAAAGCAAAACACCCAAGCCCTGTTCCGTTGATATCCCGAGCCGGCTATAGGCAAAGGCTTGCGTAGCATGCGGATCTAAGTCCAAGATCAAGTACCGAAACCGCAGTGTAAGGTAGTATAACTGAGTCACAGCAAGTTTGAATATTCAGTACATGCTCTCACACGTGATGAACTACTGGAGCAAATGTTTCTTTGCAGTTGGTTTGGCCAATAGTTAGAGCCAGCAGGCTAAAACGCAAACTCCCAGATAGAGGATAATGAGGCCCTTATGAATGTTGAAGAATCACCTCTGTCTTCCTCGCAAACAAGAACACATTTGTGGAGCTGTACATCAAGTCAATCATATATGACTATTGATGGTGGATGGCAGTGGAAGATAGCTTCAGCACCCAAATATGTGCTCCTTAAGTCTTCACCATAGAGCATGAGCCATCACAATTTCAAGGAATCTAGCCTGGATTCAGGATGATTCAGGGTGGGTGCGTCAAATCTGCAGCTGAATCAAACTCGGTCACTCTCTGCTTCATGCAGTTGGAAAAAAGAACTCGTTCTTCACCTCGGGGCTCTCCTCTTCAGCATCCTCCTGAAGAGGACGAGGCCCAATGAGAACGGCCAAAGGTGGCCAGAAACCAGAGGCGATTTGGGGGGTCGCCATGTCTACTTTTGGTCTGGGTGCGACGTTCTGTCGCCACCAGTTCTGGTATTTGCACTTAGCCGATCAGCAGGTCCGGTCCTGCCGATCAGCCACGATTGCCACGGGAAGCCGTGGTGCAGCACCACCTTTTTGGTGCGTTGCAGCATGTTTTCGTTGCAGCGTGCAGCCCGTTTTTCTGACGTTTTGCTTCCGTTTTTCTTCCTGACAAACCAAGCCGGTTCATGCTGGCCACCCAATCACCTGATTCTGGAGTCTTTGAACTTTGAAGGCAGGAACGTTCTGTCAACGGAGAGACATAATGATCCGCAAGGACCAGAAAAACGAAGCACAAGGATGTTACAGTATAGGTATTGATGCATTATTGATGTATACACTCCGACTCACGAACATGAAAGTGGAGTTCACCCCCTGTTTGATCATGTTTGTAAAGGAAAGTAGTCTTCGAAGGAACCAATTTATCACTTCCAAGGTGAGTGAGTCAAAGGGTATTGTATATATTGTACGTATGGTATTGTATTTGAGTCATCATTGGTGGTTGTTTAAGTTTATGTGTTGCCCACCCGCATTTGAACAACAATGGAGTCAATCCACACGAGAGCTGGAAAATCCACAAAATCTCGAAACCAAGCAACAAAATGTGCAATTAATTGCAATTATATTTCTGGGACGTTCTCGTTCTGGATATTGCCTGACATGTGTAGGGTCGAGTCTTTGCAACGGAGGACCGCCATCCTTTTGACCTCAGACTGAGACTCTAAGCTTATTTGGAAATGATGATAGATCACTTGAATCGGAATTAGCTCCTCTCCATCTTCCTCTTCCTTGCCTTTCTTAGCATTCGCCTGCCGGGAACCGGAGTTTTGAGAAATCTGAGGGTGTTTGGGATGTCTTTGGATGTCTGCATGGCCCCTTGTTTGGGGGGGCTGAGGTTTAGAGAGCGCATCATGAAAGCCTTTAAAGCACATTCAAATGGTGTGATCTTTCTTCCATCCTCTACTTGGGGGGGCACTTGTTCAACATGAGTCTTCAAGTATTTCATTTGGGCCCTGGGATCTCTCGTCAAGCAGCGACGTGACAATGCTCCACCATCCTGACTGCGGCAACAAGTCAATGCTCCACCATCCAACGTGTTGAAACTTATGTTATTCATAAAGCCTATAGAGTTACAGTGGATTGAGAGTAGATGGCACAAACCCCAAGATGACCTTTATATAGGGGTCCATATAAACCACCTTTTGGGGATTGTGCCATCTACTCTCAACCCACTGTAAGGATATTGATCTCCGAATGGATTTAGCCTCCAAATCTAGGACCCCGGACCCCCCATTTCTGAGGAGTTTCACCATGGGTTTCACCCATGGGAAACCCATGGCCCCAGGCAAAGTAGATGAAACAAAGGTCCATGCATTTTAGCACCCCATGAAGGCATTGAAATCCATTGTGAAAGTCCCAAACTTGAACACTTTCGCCTTGGCGAGGCTCGGTCCTTGCCTAGCTTTGGAGCTTTGGATATACTTGATGGTGGTCCCCCTATTCTAATACACATCCACCGATGCTCCCCACATGCCGGTCTCGCGAAACAAGAGGACACTCGCCTTCACCAGCGCTTTGTTGGAGCTCAAGGCAGTACCACGGCGCCGCGCCTTTCTCACCGAGCAGCGGCAGCCGGCCGAGCGGAACAGCGAACCTTTTCGCTGGCCTGGTATCTTCATGTTCGCATCTGGGTTTTGAGGCCCCTACTCCAATGAACTCTACACTGCTGGAAGCCGCAGCTTTCAGGATACCGGGTCTGACCAACAGCGGCCTGAACACAGAACAGAACGGCGTTTGCGTCCTTTGCGGCGCCATCCGAATCCATCCAGCAAAATAGAACATCCATTAGTAATGCATTCCTTCATGAACATCCATCCATACATCCAGATCATCCAGCAAAATAGGATAACATAGGAAACGAACATCCATCCCATCTCGGCCAAAGTAAGCGCGCGCCACGGGCGCCACGCGCGGGCACGCCGGTGCCTTCCATTCACTGGTCCTCACGCGCTTGGCGGTGAAGTTCTGAGCCAGGACCAAAATGCACTGCCTCAACAGAGCGCCAGCTGCACGCGGAAGTTCTTCGTTGAGCTGTTCGCATCATGTATAGTATCCGATTTCATCCTATGTCCTTTGAACTTGCGACAGGTCTGCCGAACTTGGCCGGTTTTACAGACAACAAAGGCAAACAAATGTGCACAGTTGGAAGATCCAGGATAAGTGGTAGACGGAATAAGAAAAGGGCACCTTTCAACGGACCCTGTGGTCTGTCGACGTCGGCAAACTCGGGCGCCCGTGCTTATTCACCAGAAGTGAATCCTCGGAGGAGTGTTTGGCGGCGAGTTTAGCCGCTGCCTGGCGAGCTCAGAGCGTCACAGGGAAGCAGCTGCAGCTGAAGGGCCTACATTTGTGGCCTTGATTTGAAACCAATCACATCCAATCACGTAATATGGCCACATAATATGTGTTACACAATGATGTTAGGCCATGCCAGGCCTACATGTTTAATAAAGCTATAGTATATATAAGCACAAATATATAACAGTTACCCCTTCCATATGAGTTTTTGGCTGGATGATCATTGACAACAATGGTAATTACAATGTTTTAATCTGCCTATTATTGCAGTATCATGGCAGTATTAGACGTCTTGGGAAAGGCAAACATGGGAGCAATATAAATGTCAAACGTGGCTGTTGCAAGCAATTTCTTATAATTCTCAAAATTACCCGCCACCTCTGTGTGTGTGTGTTGCAGTGTAGTACTTTGTGGATGAACCAACAAACTCTTATACTGTAAGTCACTGATACAGTTGATGAGCCAGGAAAAGAAAAAGACTCAAATCCAAATCCACCCCAATCGCCTTCCCTCTTGGAACACCTTCCAAACAACTAATTAACTCCACTAGGTCAGCGTGGTGTTCGGGAACTATGAGGTTGGTTTCGGAAACTAAGGCGTGGGTTTCGGAAACCGGAGAGGAGGGTTTCGGCAACTCGCCAATTATGTTCGGAAACTGTGGTTCGGCAACTGCAGGCGTGCGGCGTGGGTTTCAGAAACTGTGGTTCAGAAACTCAAACGTGGGTTTCGGCAACTCGCAAAACGAACAAGGACTGTTGCTGAAACCGACAAACGAAACCGACAAAAGCAGTTGCTGAACCGCAGTTGCTGAACAATACCCTATTCAACTCCACCAACCGCACCTTCTCGGTCGCCTGTCCGACCGCACCTCCGCCTCCTTGCGCTCGCGTTCCTCGGCGGCCGCCAGGGCCTCTTCCAGGCCTCGGACGGACGAGGTGTGCACAAGACGCGAGGGCCATCAACCAGACTCTTTGGATAAACAATAGATGATAGATGTCTATCCACGAATTGTCTGATATAAGTTAATTACGTTTCAGTTGACTCTCTCTTCAATGTCCTCTTGTGATCTCTTGTTACTGTGTTAGGAGGATGGAACTTGCAGGGTTTTGGAGCTTGGGTGGAGGGTGGATGCTTTCCTGGTGACACATTTTCTCGGGCTGGGGTGAGTATTTCAGATATCTTTGTTTGTTGGAGGGGAAGGAGGATGAATGGTGATTGCTGCTGCTGCTGCTGCTGATGATGATGATGACGACCACGACCATGTGATAATGATAATGCAACTTTCTTCTAGCAAGGTTGTTTAATTATAATTCATAAAAATGCTTGAATTCAATTTCAATTTGTCCCCGGTGATTGATGGGTCTGATGCTTTACAGGGCATTCTACAAAGAAATGGTGGCAATGAAATGACTTGTAAAGGATCAAAACTCTATAAAATGGAAAACCATGTGTTACTATGAAATGACATTCCAGATGATCAAAGGTCTAGATTTATGGGTTGGTCTCGGTGCTGAATCAGATTGATTATTTCTGTGAAATGGAATTCCAGATTCCATACCTAAAGGATCAGGGAGACCACATTGCCATACCTAAACCTTAAAAAAAAACAATGGTTTTTCCAAACTGGCCCAACCATTTCCAGGGATTCCCAGGGGATACTTCTCTTCTCTACGTTTTCCTGGAAACACTTTCCTCGTGCAGCCCCCATCACCCCCCAATCCCACTTCTATGAAATGCCTTTGCCT